ATTCATCGATGATCACTGATAAGAACGAAATGATGAATGATATTTCATGATATCGTTTAAAAGTTGATAGTTATCCTTTATTTTGCTTTTTCACACCCTTCGATCGCATATCGTATCTGTGGTACCATTCACGAAATGAATCGCTTAATACTAATACATATTCCTGTTTAACGGTAGGGGTTCCAATGAAAAAAGCGGAAGGATTTCATTTCACACTTTTTATATTTTAATTTTAAATCACCGTATTAATTTAATGATTGTTTCGATTGATTGTTTCTCAGACTAATAGCGATGAAAGAAACATCAAAATTCGCGAGAAAATTGTCGATTATGGTTGTGAAAAAACTTCTAAAAAATGTGGAACTAATATGATTTACAAAACTATTCCGAAAACAATCTTTCTCGACTCCTCAGCTTATTCTTACCGATGCTTTCAAATCTGCTCGTGCATCGATGAAAAATATATTGAAAGGAACGGGCAGTGTGTCGAAAAGGTATCATTTCTATGATTCTCGGGTTAGAATACAAGCAAAATCAGGGAAATTATGATTTATTCAACATATATGTGGAAAAAATCATCAGTCTGCATAGAATTCAGGATTCAGATTTGAAACAATGCATATCGATGCCAAAACAATTGCGAACAATATTCTAAGAAATTTGGCCAAGTAGCTCAATATTTATATTTATGAATTAATTAATTGAATTAATAGGAAAATATTATTGGCATTTTGCGATTTGATAAGAATTATAAATTTATTATTTTATTTGTAATATAATATTATATTTATTTATTTTTATATTTATTATTTTTTTGTAATATAATATTTTATTTATTATTTATTTTAAAAGGCAACAAATCATAAAGAAATTTAAATTATACGAGGAAATTTCATGCAGTCATAGCAATTTCTTTTTTTAAATATTTATTAGAATCACACATGAATCGTCGGCTTTCAAATTTAGACAACTATTTCGAGCCACAATAACAATTCGGCAAGCAATGATGTGAATTCTGCAAGTAATGGTGCCAGTTTCTACGATAAATCCGTATGTTTGATGATGCAAGGACGAAAGTGTGGTATTCATATGATATTCAGAGAAATTCAGCCAAGTAACTCATCGGAACGTTTTAGCTCAAATGATAAAATTTGTTGGCTAAGATGTCAGTGCGAAAATGAAAGTTATACTAGAGAAGGTGAAAAATGCGTTGAAATTCAGCAACGAACTGTGATAGCAAATAATCCAACGACCATTGGAGAAATTCCGGTGAGTGGTTCTTTTTTGCCTTTCGTTAAACTAATCTACTCGGTGCTAAGTTATATTCGTTTGTTGTGACTCCCACAGTTCTTCTAATAGAAAAAAGCATGAATATCTTAATTTGTTTATTTGTTTTTTATATTTAAATTAATATAAACATAGGTGATTTTTATTAAAGATTCAGTCTGATTCGATTAACAATACAAGAAATTACAAAATTGGCGATAAAATTTCCGATTACGGTTGCCAAAGAACAAATCAAAAGTGTGGAACGAATATGATATTTAAAACGATTTCGAAAGTACTCTTTCTCGAATACTCACAACCTTTGTATCGATGTTTTCAACAATGTTCGTGTATCAATGATAAATATGTAGAAAATGATGGGCAGTGTATAGATTCAATGTATAATAAAGTATAATTTCATTAATTAAATGAGAAATTTTGAAAATTAGCTAAAATTTCAGTCGAATTTCAGTATAAATCAATCTTATCAGTTGAAATTGACTAAGTCCCATAATTTTTTTTTCATATTGGAAAAGATTGCCGAATTGTTTTATTGTATTTGAATAAACAAATAATTATAATGTCGTTTTCCTTTTTTCAAGTTTCACCTTGGCTGACTTATTTGGCACTATCGAACACAAATGTTGAAGTTAAAAGTTAGAGTCGAAACGTCGAAACTTTTTGTCTCTGAAAAAATGAGCGAAAATGGTTAAAAGATTCACTCAAAAACCAACAAAAAATTTCGAAAAAATCCGAGTAACCAGAGAAATTAACAATATAATTAACAAAACAATATAATTGTTAATATTAGCCAATCGCTCATTCATCGAGTGATTATGGCGATTAGCTATATTTCTATTGGACTTCCAGATCAGATTTGTTTAGCCAACAAATCAATGGAGTGAGGCTATTCAGTGATCGTGAGTGCTGTTAAAGGAAAACCGTTTATTCAGTCCGTTTGTATAGATGTTAAGTGGCGCGTAGCGTAAAGATCAACTTTCAACGGTATCATGCAATGTCGCTTAATCATTTTATTCTAATCAGTGATTCGATAAGCATAAATATCCATTTGTAAGCAAGTTTGATGAAAAGTTCAACAAAGATTTTCAGTAACATTATTATTGCCCGAAATGGTTTTAGTAACCTTCTTCTTCTGACAGCTCTCACCATTACTGGTTAGGATGGCTATAAGGGTAAGACGTCTCCATGGTGCTATCGTTCTAAGCCATCGTTAGTAGTAGTAGAAGCCATTCCTTTTACCGTTGTCTAATTCATATATTGCTGGCCCACCTATACGTTCGAAATCTAGGTCTTTATTGGCCTGCTTCCCTTTTGACGCCACCCATCTCAGGGTTTAACAAGTAACGAAATTTTCGACAGCTCTTGTGGTGGATGGCGGAGAACGTGCTCTGGTTTTGGTTAATCAGCATATAGTATGATGTTTCCCAATATTTCTATCGAAAGAATGATTAAAAATGTATTCTTTTTTGAAGCAAGAAAAGTTCACTGAAATTTTTTCAAACCTGATGGTCACCTATTCAATTTTATAATTCATTTGAAAAAAATATTAAAAAATTATGCGATTTGCCAATGATTAAAATTAATTTTTCCAAAATGATCATCGGAATTATGAAATTATTCGCTTAAAAATATCGGTTTCAGTAACCTTAAATATGCCCCGGTAGTACCAGTGGCATTGCTACGATCTCACTTTCACTGAAAGCCTGTCGGTGTATAACGATAGGGCCTAAGATGACTAAATTCACACCCAACATTGCGTCGTCTGAAAGCGATCGTATAATATTAAACATCTAATTAATCCTTAAAACATCAGTGAATATGCAATATTGCATTGTTTCACTTTGGTAAAATCTTGAAAATTTTATGAAAAAATCCGACGACCTTAAAAACTTTTTAGTTCACAACAGAAGAATTTCTTTTCACTCGTTCGCACTGGAAGTGATGGATTGAAACGGATTTGCAAGAGAGATAATATGATGAATGATAAATATATATTTCTCTTTCCCAGCGAGAGTATTGATAAAGGAAAAGAGATAAGAATTGTGGAAGGAGTTGTGGAAAAGTTGTGGTACTAGAAAATATCACAGGATGAAAGTAGAATGCGTCATGTGTAAGAGGTACAATAAAGATGTCTTCCAGTTTGATAAAATAGAAAATGAACATGAATTTTCTTTCTGCCCATCTCAAAAACTTATACAAGTTCCCAAAAGGCCATTTCTGGCTATTCAAAATATAATATTCGAGAAACAAAAAATACCATAAACTAATTGTTTACCTTTTTATTTGGTTCGAACTGTAAATCTTTTATTGCTATCTTCGTACAGCCGAGTTAATAATCTCGCTTTGGATCATTAAAAGTATTACAAAAGGAATTTTCAATTTCGAACTTGACTTTTAGAAATAAATTTAAGATCCTCCGGAACATTGAACAGTTTCGATAAAATCATTGGTAAGCAAATGAATGCCTTCGAATTGACTATCGAAAATAAAATTGTTGTCATTATTGTCGCCATATTATAATCCAATATCAAATTGAAGTCGATTTGAAATAAACTTACAAAGCTAGTAAAATTGATTAACAGTAAAACCATTTCAATAATTTGTGAAAAGTTAACTTTGCAAGAATTTTTCCAATCTTCGCGAATGCTCTGCAAAAAAAAATTCGCTAAAAATTTTCATATCGAATCTTTTCAAAAATTTTATAAATTTCATCATACGAATTGATAATTTAAAAAAAAAAAAATCGAAATTTTCGGTAAAAATTTTTAATTTCATATAAAATAGAAAATTATAAATAATGTTTCGTAAAATGAATAATATCGTACTGAACAACTCGAAAATTAATTGAATAACTATAGGATTTTTAACGATCCGAGTGGTTTTCCAAAAACCACTATCAATGTTTTAAAGATCAAAACGCTAGTAGAATTAGAATTTATCAAATCATATTTTCAGGAATACGCTAATCTCATTCACTGCAAAAATATTATACTGTATATATTATTAAATTACAATAAAACAGCAAAACCATAGGGACTTTAGACTTAGAAACACGTGAGGTACCGTTGTTTTTTTATTAACATAATTTAATTTAAAATTTAATTTATAATTTAAAATTTAAAAAATAAATGATAAAATTGCAAAATTGCAAAAAGCTGCAACTGCCATTTTACATTTGCACATCGATCCTCAGGAACACTAATATGTTCCATTGGTAAATGAAAAAAAACGCCTTTAAATTGAAAATAGAAAATAGAATACTATTACAGTCACCGTAATAAAATTCGCGAATGTTTCCCAAAAACCAAAGGTTTTTCCAAAGGTTTTGCAAATACAAATACTTTACTTGAAATAGTTATCGTTGACTATAATTTTTTTTATTGTCACAGAAATGTTTTTCGTAGCCGTTACTTTTTTCATTATAGTTAGTAAATTTTTTAATTCTATTAAAAAAATTTTTTTTTAGATAATTCTTTTTTTCTGCATCTATTCATTAATATGCCCAAAAGTTTCATAACATGTTTGCTGCGCTGCTTTTTTTTGTGAGCAATTTGAGGAAATTTGTGTCGTGATGAATCTATGAAAATTTTTGGCCAGATTACTAATGGTGATAAAAAAATTTCTCGCAAAAAAATCCAATATCATTTATGCTTAGCCTTTTGTCCTATAATGTTATTTATTAAAGATTTTCCTTCAATTTGGTACTGATGCGAATGATTGTGATTATGGAAACTGTACGTATGGTCAAGAAATTATTGATTATGGTTGCTGATGAACATTGCGGTATAAATATGAGATTTGTAGAAGTTTTCAAAACTATTCTTCTTCAATATTCATTTCCAGTCTATCAATGTAGGCAGCGGTGTGTATGTGCTAAAAATAACATTGTTGTAAATGGCAGAAAGTGTATCCAAAAAGAATGTATCCTTCTGTACCAAATTGTAACCAAGGCAAATTAGTTAATTAATAATTAATTTACTACAAATAAAAATAAATTTAAGAAAATAAATATATTAAGACAAATAAAATAAATAAATAAAAATAAGAATAAAAAAATAAATTGTGGCAAATTTAAATAAATGAATTTAATTAATTGAAGATGGACAATGTCCTCAAAGAATTAAAAATTTTGTAAAACTCGGTGGTAATTTGAAAATTATAAAAATTATAAAATATTCTAATTATTTTTGAATATAATTCTACAATTTGAGTACCAATTATAACTCAATGATTATTCACTTGAATTATATACAAAGCGAATTTTATACAAATGTCCCCAATGAAACTTTACAGGATCGAACTTTTTTATGCTCGAAACTCCTTGGACAACGATGCGGTATTAATAAAATATTCAAAAAAATTCAAATAAGTTCATTTTCTGAGAAATTCAAATAAGTTCATTTTCTGAGACGAATATAATTATTTATTTCAAAAAGGCAACAAGTCATAAGTTAAGGAAGTTTAAGTTATATGAGGAAATTTCATTTCATGCAGTTATAGCAATTTCTTTTTTTAAATATTTATTAGAATTTCGCATAAATTCTCGGCATTCAAATTTAGACAACTATTTCGAGCCACAATAACAATTTGGCAAACAATAATAATATGAATTCTGCAAGTGATGAGATTTTGAATGGTGCCAGTTCCTACGATAAATCCGTATGCTTGATGATGCAAGGACGAAAATGTGGTATTCATATGATATTCAGAGAAATTCAGCCAAGTAACTCATCGGAAAGTTTTAGCTCAAATGATAAAATTTGTTGGCTAAGATGTCAGTGCGAAAATGAAAGTTATATTAGAGAAGGTGAAAAATGCGTTGAAATTCAGCAACGAACTGCGATTGCAAATAATCCAACGACCATTGGAGAAATTCCGGTGAGTGGTTCTTTTATGCCTTTCGTTAATCACTCTACTCGATGCTAAATTACATTCGTTACAACTGTGACCACCACAGTTTTTCTAATAGAAAAAGCATGAGAATCTTAATTTGTTTATTATTTATATTTTATATTTATATTGTTTACTATATTTTTTATGTTTAAACCAAATAAATTTAAACGTAAATAGTTTTGTTTCAGCACGTCGTTTTTATTAAAGATTCATTCTCATTCGATTAACAATGAAAGAAATTACAAAATTGGCGATAAAATTTTCGATTTTGATTGTCAAAGAACAAATCAAAAGTGTGGAACGAATATGATATTTAAAATTGTATCGAAAAGACGTTTCCTCGAACTCACCGATCGGTGTCTTCAAAAATGTTCGTGTATCAACGATGAATATAAAGAAAATAATGGGCAGTGTATTAGATTTAGTTAGATTTTATAGTAAAGCTTAGTTGAATTAATTAAGCGAAATATTTTGAAATCAACTCGAATTTCCCCATAAATTTTTTTATTTATATTGGAATGGATTATCGAATTATTCGTCCTCGCTTCTTCAATATATAAACGCTGTATAAATTAAATAAGCTATTGTCGAGAAGTTAAACCTTCCTGTCTGTGGAATTAAAGAATCAAATACTTATAATCCCTTTATGGGAAAATTCAATTCTTGATTAGTTTTATGGCCACCATATTCATATTTCATGGCCATATGTACATTTTCCATGTTCACAATCAACCGCATCACTCCCAAATTGCAATAAATGGTATAAAATCGAACATTTATCAATTATTTCGAATATATTTATAAAAAAGAAGATTAATAGACTAAAATTTTGATATTAAAAATAATTTCCTAATGAGACGAATTTTGAAGGGCCGTTACAACTGCCATTCGTTTAGAATTCGCGTACTATTTTCTAACAATAGGAATTTCATTTAAAATTTTTTTCGAGAATCTAAATATTAGCATTAATATTAAAAACAGATTTAATGCTAATATGCAAATTCCTTTCACCATTTTCGTCCCAAAAACTTATTGAATATTATAATCTGCGAATCGTGTATTTTAAAATTTATTTCAAAAAATTTGCCGAAAAATATTAACCAAGTTTAAAGGAATTTTTTCAACATATGAAATTTTCATGCCCACAAATAGAAGTTCTAAACAATTAGATTAGAATGAAATTAATATTTTTTTAAAAATACTTTAAAAATACTTTCGAGAATAAAGAGAGAAATCACTACTAAATAAAAAAATTATAATAATTTATAAATTTATAAATTAAAAGAGCCAAATTCAGAAAATGAGCATCGCCAAATTTTGGATAAAAAATTTTCAACTGCAAAAAAATATAATTTTATATAAAAAAGAGAATTATAAGAGAGAACATATTCGCAAAATATTATTATCGCTTTGAATAGCTGGAAACTAATTGAACAACAATGAAATTCTCTTCAAAAATTTTCCACAAAAATTCCAGAAATCAATATCATCAAATTGAAACCAAAACGCCTGTAGGATTCAGTGATATTTCACGAAAGCCTCTTTTATGACAAAAATATTTCTACGATATTTTATATTAAATTACAGTGAAACAATAAGGTTAACAGGTTTAACAGGAAAGCATATGAGATTTTTTTTTCAACAGTATGATTTAAAAAATATGAAAATTTGTGAAAATTCATAAAATAATACAACAGCCATTTTCCTTACAATCAGTGCGCTGAACACTTTTGGTAAATTTCTGAAATTCAAAGGAATACTATCAATTCAATAAGAATAGAACACAGAATTGTATCATAGTCACCGTAAAAGGATTACCAATGAATCCCAAAAACCAGTTTTGCGAATGTTTTAAATAGTCGTCGCCCATAAGATTTTCATTCATTCGCACATTCAGTGATGTTTCCTTCCGCTGTTACTCTTTGCACAATAGTTAGTGAATTTTCTAACTCTAATAAATTATTTTTATAATTCTTTGTTTCTGCTCCCATTTATTAGTATTCTCTCATACTTTTGCCCGCATTTTTTTTCTGCAGAAGTTCGTTTCGTAATAAATCCATGAAAATTTTTGGTAATCGAAAAATTTGGCTGGTAAAAAAATTCCAATTTTCTCATATTGGTCTAATTTAAGGCACTAAAAAAATTTTTCTTTATTAAAGGTTTTACTTCAATTTGCTAGTGGAGAAAATAAATGTCAGCATGGCGATTGTATATATGGCGAGGAGATTGCTGACTTTGGTTGCCGTAAAACTAACCAAAAATGTGGCATAAATATGATATTTGAAGAAATTCGCAAAACTCTTCTTCTTGACCACTCAGAGCCATTCTATCAATGCAAACAACGATGTATTTGTGCCAAAAATTATTTTGCTGTGAATAGCCGAAAATGCATCAAAGAGGAATTTCTTAAATATCAAAAAACAACTAAGGTAATTATGCATTATTTTAATATTTTAATATATATTTTAATTTTACCAAATAATTAAATGTGGCGAATTTTCACAAATCAATTTAAAGCAATTTATTAATTAAATAAGTGGAAACAATTTAATCATTGTTTTTTGAATTTTTTTTTCGCATTTCAATAAATAAAAAATGGATTTAAAAAAAAGCTTACAATTAATATTTTAAAATATTGGAAATATTGGAGGACGAAAGGATTTTATATTAAATTTAGCATGGAAAATGTCAAAATAGCAGTGCTAAATTTTATAAAATCTAATAGCATTCATTGAAATTTACGAAAATCTTCTAATTACTTTTGAATATAGGAATATAATTCGAGTACCAATTATTCAACAGCAATTCATTCAATTTCTACGCAAAGCGATAAAATTCTCAACGAAACCTTACACGGCCAATCCTTCCTCTGTTCGAAACTCCTTGGACAACGATGCGGTATTAATATGATATTCAAAGAGATTCAATTAAGTTCATTTTCTGAGAGATTTGCTACGAACGGTGAAATTTGTTGGCTGAGATGTGAATGTGAAAATGAAAGTTATATTAGAAAAAAAGACAAATGTATTGAGATTCAGCAACAAACTACTGCAACAAATGATCCGACGACCATTGGAATTGAAAAATATTTGGTGAGTTGCTCTTTCTTTTATTATAAATTAATATTATTGTAATGAATTGAATATATTTTCAATCAACATTTTCGTGGAAATTATTATACAATATATTGCTTAAGCAAAACCAATTGAGGGAATAATGTTTCTATCGAAAATCCTTGCTTTTCATCAAATTGGCTTATTATTATTTTATCCATGGATTTTATCGGATCAACTGATAAGAACCAAGTGATTAAGCGATCACGTCTCACCCGACATATATTCAAAGATTATATTACCTTTTCCTTGTTTCTTGACGTCCTTAGATCGCGAATCACCGAAACATACTTAATGAATCTCTAAGGGTCGAAAAAAGCAGAATGATCTCAATCTGTTTCATATATTTTATATTTAAATCAACGTCTTATTTAATTTAAAGGGTCGTTCTCATTCTATTGGCGGTGGAAGAAGTTACAAGGTTGGTGATAAAATGTTCGATTATGGTTGCCGAAAAACTTTTGCAAAATGTGGAACTAATATGATATTCAAAACTGTTTCAAAAATACTTTTTTCTGAATTCACATTTTCTTTTTATCGATGTTATCAAAGATGCTCGTGTATCAACGGTAAATATTTTGAGAGTGACGGGCAATGCATGGAAAGGGAAAATCTTTTTATTGATGGTTCTCGTGGTAAAACTCAGGTAAATTAAATAAATAAACAGTATTAAATTGAATAATTTGGAAAATTCTATAAGTTATAGGTTGGAGAAATTTGAAAAATTTAGATTATACAAGGAAATTTCAAGAATTTTTTAGCAATTTTTTGTGAAATTTTTATTGCACTCATATAAGAATCATGATTATTGAAATTTAGACAACTATTTCGAGCCATATTATCAATTCAGCAAAAAATAACGTGAAACCTGTAAGCAATAAGATTGCTAATGGTGCCAGTTCCTACGATAAATCCGTATGTTTGATGATGCAAGGACGAAAGTGTGGTATTCATATGATATTCAGAGAAATTCAGCCAAGTAGCTCATCGGAAAGTTTTAGCTCAAATGATAAAATTTGTTGGCTAAGATGTCAGTGCGAAAATGAAAGTTATATTAGAGAAGGTGAAAAATGCGTTGAAATTCAGCAACGAATTGCGATAGCAAATAAATCAACGACCGTTGGAGAAACTACGGTCAGTGGTTCTTTTTTGCCTTTCGTTAATTGAAATACTCGATACTAAATTACATTTCGTTTATAATATCCACAGTTCTTCTAAATAATTCTATAAAAGCATATCAAAAATCTTTGTTTTTATTTTATATTTTTCATTTTGCATTTTATCGTATTTGAATTAAGAACACATCAATATTTTTTTTTATTCAATAATTTTTTTTATTAAAGATTCGTTATCATTTGATTAGTGATGCAACGAATTATAAAATTGGCGACAAAATTACCGATTATGGTTGTCAAAAAACCAACAAGAAATGTGGAACTAATCTGGTATTCAAGACCGCTTCAAAAATATTTCTTAATGAATACGCACTTCCTTTTTATAAATGTATTCAAAGATGTTCGTGTATTAACAGTAAATTTATAGCAAATGACGGGGAGTGTAGTGATTCACTTAGTAAAACAGAAATTAATTAATTAAATGAGAAATTTTAAAATTAGCTAGAATTTGAGCTTTAGCTTGAAAAAGACGTATAAATCATTTAGGCATTACTAGAGTAAATCACTGCTTGTATTTGCCCAACAAGCAAGGCATCGCAGTGAGTCTAATCAGTGAGCGTGGTGATAAGAAAAAATCGCTTACCCGCTTCATTTACTTTTAAAAAAATTTCAAAAAATTAATATTAGCATTACGAAAAGATTTCTATAACAGAGAATGTTTTAATGTGATATAGTGCAGATAATAACTATTGTATGTTGTTTTAAATCCTAGTTTTAATTCTTTATTTTAAAAATTATTACATAATATTTTTTCAAATCTGTAGAACAATAAATTTAATCGTTCAGAAATCATTTTTTATCATTTTAATCACATATCATTCATTCAATTTAATCATTTTTTACTAATCCTTGGATCTTATTTTTATCCAAGATTACTAGTGAATCACCGAGAAATTTCTTTGAAGAGTCCGCATCATTACTTTTGGCTTGTTCACTGGTTACAAGGATAAAAATTTTTCAGAACTATGCCAATTTATTCATCGAAGCTCTATGTGACAATACAAAAAAATTTAGTTTTGTGTAAAATCAATCTTCCTGAAAATTTTTCAGATTATATCAAATGAATTAATAAAAAAAATAAAATTTTCGGTTATAAAAAATTTTAATTTGACATAAAATATAGAAAATAAATAATTATAAATTATATTTGTTAAATGAACAAAATCGCATTGAATACTCAAAAATCAGTGAAAAACAATAGGATTCTCAACAATAATTTTCGAAAGGTATTCCAAAAACCAGTATCATCGCTTTAAAATCGAAACTCATGTAGGATTTTTCTACCATATTTCACGAATGCACTAATCTTTTTCGCAGCAAAAATATTATCGAATTTCCAAAAAATTTCGACGGCTTTGGCAAAATTTGAATGAGTCGATCTCGAATGATAATAGCTTCTCAAATTATTAATTATCATTTGATATGAATGGTATATGCTGAATAAATAATATGGCATAGGATTTGTATGTTAATATAATATGAAATTATCTATTAAAATAATTTTAGAAATCTTAAAAACTGTCATTAAGTTTTAAAAAAAAATTCAGCATTGTTGATTCGTTGAGGAGATTTTCCATGATTAAATGAAAAAAAAAAGATAAACTGAGATTAAATTAAATTAAATTAAGTAGATATCCGTAAAGATTTTTCCAAATTTTTTCCTCCAATATTTTCAACGCGTTAGATTATTAATCGCGAGAATTTTTTAAAATCTGTTTTTTGTTGAACGAAATAAAAAGAATGAAAAAAAAAATTATTGTTTCTATTAATTTAATTATTTAATTGCCTTACATTACTTAAAAAGCTGAAATTTGCCACGATTAATTTTTTTTGTGAAATTAAGTCATTTATTTATAAGTTAATTATTAATTATTAACCAATTTACCTTAGTAATTTGTCTTAGTAAATTTTGGTATTTAAGACTCTCTTTTGATACATTTTCTGCTATTTTTCTCATTGATAAAATTGATATGAATGTTGAAGAAGAATATGGGAAATTTGTTCAATTCTTGATTAGTTTTATGGCTACCATAATCAATTGCTTCTTAGCCACAGGTGCAGTTTCCATGCGTACAGTTATCCGGATCACTCTCCAATTGAAAAAAATCTTTCAAAATGGAACTTTATTAGATGCTTTATATACTTATAACAAAACTAAGAATGGTGTTATTCGATTTTTTTATGTTTTATAATAGATCATTGTATAGATCATTGTAGAAAAATTAGAATAATAGCATATCTGTTTATTTGAATTTTTTTATAATTTTACGAATTTTTTAAAAATTTTACACTGCGGAAGCGCGAAATACAATATGACTTCTAACTGTTTAGAGCTGTTCATTCGGTCGGAAAAATTTTCATTGTTCATTATTTAAAAAAAAAATTTATTGGAGTAAAATTTTGGTATTAAAAATAACTTCCTAATGAAATGAATTATGAAGGGTCGTTGCAACTGCCATTCGTTTAAAATTCTCGTACTATTTTTTAATAAAAGG